AGATTCCCCTGGAACTGGAGTTAAGAACGGTTCATAACTGCCATGTGGGTGCTGAGAATCGAACCTGGGTCGTCTGCAAGAGCAGTCAATGCTCTTAACTGCTGAGCCATCTCTCCAGTTCCTTATTTTTAAAATTTCTAATAAATAAGAATAGGTAAGAAGTAGGCATTTGAGAAATTAGAAGTGATCAAAGGCAATGTTTCCCAGGTACAGGTAAGTGGGCCCCTATGTTACCTTGAATGAATGGAATTCGCAGAACATTCATGTTCTCATTTGAAAAGTATTTTTTTAGGGGCCTTTTCTCCTTTCTTGGAAGAAATCAGAAAGCTTTTCATCGATTTTATTTTCCCTAAAAATACTTTTTTTTCCAGTGCTGTGGATCAAATCCAGGACTTTGTGCATGGTAGGAAAGCCTCAAATACTGAGCTAGAAATCTAGTTCTTTTCACTGATTTTAAAACAAGATGATGCGTCTGGAGAGATGGCTCAGTGGTTAAGAGCACTGGCTGCTCTTGCAGAAGACCTGGGTATGTTTCCCAGAACCCACATGGCAGCTAACAACCATCTGTAATTCCAGTTCCAAGGGATTCGACGCTTTCTTCTCTCCTCCATGGGCACTGCATGACACGGGTTACTCTTACATATATGCAGGCCTAACACTCATACACATAAAATTTCTTTTTCAGTAAAACAAGATGACAACTAAGAAGGGGAGGTAAAGCAGGGATGTTGGGAAAGCTGCAAAGCAGCTGTATTTTGGGTGTCGGAGCCAGTCTTGTACTGAGCTGCTCATGGAATATGCACTGGAGTGAGCAAGTCACAGTCTGTCAAAGGCTCTTTGACACCTTAAAAGAACATGAGTACAGGGAAAAGCATCACAGCTCAGAGCATCTAGCATATGGGCCAAGTCCCGCCATGAAGTTTTATATCGATTTGCCTGGTTCCTATGCAAACATGGGAACATTTGTATGTTCAAAAGATGGTAATTCCCAGTTCATGAGCCCATGTGCTGGAATCCTCTCAGCAGCTCTAGAGTCATTTCCCAGTTTTCTGGTCTTGCTTCACTTGGTCAGGGCAGAGCACTTGTGGTCTGCCTCTTCCTTGGCTTGGAAGCTTATCTTGGGTGGCAGCTACACAGCCAAGCCTTGCAGCCGTGTAGCCGGAAAAATACTCATTCCTCGGAAAAGTGTAAGCCAGCCAGGGGTGGAGCCCACTGCGGAGAGTTAGCGGCAGAGTGTTAGTGCAGCTGTGAGACTGGAAAGGGGAAAAGGAAGTGAGTAGCCCTCAAGGCGAATGGCAGAGGCCGCTAATGGAGACTGTGGACAGGGCTGGAATGATGCCTCTCTTTGTAAGCCCTCCCTCCCCATCATATAAACCATGCGAAACTCAAGATAAAAATGTGTTATGTGGTTTGTCCACCCGCAACAGGAGCATGAGACCCTGAGAGAGTAAGGGTGGGTCAAACAGAGAGCGGGAATGGGAAAATTTATTGGGACAAGGCCTCTCCACAGACAAGCTCTTTCTCAGTCCTCTGTCCCCTGCCCTAGTCTTTGTGATACTGCTGGCTTCTGAACTATACTATCCCTCGCTGGTTCATTGCAGTACCCATGTAAATGTTCCTTTATATGAATCACTTGGGGTGAATTCCATTTCTTGCCAGGACTGTTACTAACTTAACCTACAAGGTTTTATATTTATTCTAATCATTACATACTTATATGTATTTAGTATAACTGTGATTTTTTTTCTTTTTTCTTTTGTGTGTATATGTGTGTGCCTATTTGAGTGTGTGTGTGTGTGTATGTGGGGGGAGTGCACATGCATATGTGTGTGCATGCGTGATGAGGCCAGAGGACAATCTTGGGGGTGTCTTTTCTCAGATACCATGCACCTTGTTTTTTGAGATGGGTCTGTCACTGACCTAGAGCTTACTTCATTAGGTTAGGCTGATTGGGCTGTAGGCCCCAGGGATCCATCCCCATGTCTCTGCCTTCCTAGTACTGGGATTACAAGTGTGTGTTATCACACCTGGTTTTTTTTTTTTTAATTTTGTTATTTTTATTTTATGTGTATGCATGTATTGCCTGCATGTAGGTAAGTGCACCTGTGTTGTGCAATGCCCACAGAGGTTAGAAGAAGCTGTCGGATCCCCTGGGACTGGAGTTGCGGACAGTTGTTAGCTGCCATGTGGGTGCTGGGATTTGAACCTGGGTCTTCTGTAAGAACAACCAGTGTTCTTACCCGCTGAGCCATCTCTCCAGCCCCAACACACACCTATTTTTTTATGTGGGTCTGGGGAACAAACTTGGGACCTCATGCTTGCACAGCAGACACTTTATAGACTAAACTATTTAAATTGTTGTTGTTGTTTTGGAGGCAGAGATCTGCCTGCTTCTGCCTCCTTAGTACTGGAAATAAAGGTGCACAGCACCACGTTCAGCTGATCATTTATTTCTAAGTATACAGCATTTTCAATCATAAAACAGAAGTAAATATTTACATGTTGATCTTCTGAGCAAGATAAGGATTTTTCAGTATAGCTGTGCTTAAACCCTGGTGGATTTGTTAAAATACAGATCATAGGCTCCACTCCAGACAGTCAGTCTTTTTCACTGGCAACTCCAGGTCATCCTTAAGCATTTTGAGACACCAAAATCAGGCAGAGGGATTATGTACTCATCCAATTTTTGTGTACAAGCCTTCAGGCTACAGACAGAAACATTAGGAAGGCTCTTGAGCATGGCTTCTTCTTTTTTTTTTTTTTTTTTTTTAAACCAAAGGTGTATTATTGAGGATTGGCAGAGAATGTAATCACAAATTTACTACTTCTAAATTTATTCTTAGAATTTATCAGGAGCAAATTACTCATCTTTTTTCTTTTAAAATAGCAAATGAAGGGCGGGAGTGGTGGCACATCCCTGTAGTCCTAGTACTTGGGAGGCAGAGGCAGGCAGATCTCTGTGAGTTCAATGTCAGCCTGGTCTACATAGTGAGTTCCAGGTCAGCTGGGGCTACAGGGAGACCCTGTTTCAAAAAGAAAAAAACAAACAAACAAACAAACAAAAAAACCCCAAATAAATGTACAAACAACATTACAAGGCAGAATAATACAAGTACACAGTAAAAAAAAAATATATACTAATGGAAGGTGATTAGGGAGAGGAAGTAGTCTGTATTGTGGTGGGTGTTAGGAGCTGGTACTCACAGAGATCGGAGGCTAAGCAACTGCTGGAAAGTGCCAACTTTAATTTCATAGATTTCATTGTGTCGCAGGTCACTAAAATGAAAGAGTTCCAAAGACTGATTTCAGAGTTAGTGGTTTCAAAGATGACTGACAGACTTCAGAGAACTTTTTATACTGGGATAGCCTCTCCTTAATCAAAGGAGAACAGAAAGTGTGACTATCCATTAAGAGTCTGGTTTGTATTTAAATAAGAACACTGGAATTTTTTACATTCAAGTAAGTATTGCCTTTCTTTCAAAGCAGTTGGTTTCCTGAAGAGAATATATAACAATGTTCCAAACACATCATTGTCATTCAGAATGCTTCAGGAAGAGTAGGGGATGTAGCTCAGCTGGTAGAATGCTTGGTTAGCATTCAGGAAACCCTGGGTTCTATCCCCAGCACATTCTAAACAAGTTTGGTAGTGTATGCCTGTAATCCTAGCTCTCAAGAAATGGAGGAAAGAGGATCATAAGTTCAAGGTCATCCTTGACTACAAGGTCAGTGTCAGATACATGACATCTTGTCTCACAAAACAAAGCATCAGGGGCTGGGGAGGTGGCTCTGCCTTAAAAGTACTTGCCACAGAAGCCCGACTTGAATTTGAGCTCTCTGATCCCAAAAGTAAAGGTGGAGAGAAAGAACTGATTCCATGAAATTGTCCTCTAATTTCTACATGCACTCTATGGCTCCCTCATGCCTTTACTTACACAGGCACTTCACACACACACACACACACACACACACACACACACACACACACCAGAACAAAACAAAACAACAAAAAACCAAACCCAAATAACAATACAAAGAAATACAAAGCATTTCAAAAGTGCTTTGGCTCTGGTTCCTCAGCCTTACATTTGTTGAAGGTCTTCAAAATCCTTACATTAAAAAAGAGTTTATTTTTAGTTGTGTGTGCACATATCTGTGTGTGGGTGTATGTGTGTGAATGCTAGTGCTGTGTGCTGGATAGCTTTAGTGTCAACTTGACACACCTGGGTTGAGGGAGCCTCAATTGGGGAATTTCCTCTATTGGACTGGCCTGTGGCCATGTCTGAGGGGTATCTTCTTGATGAGTGATGTGGGAGGGCCCAGCCCACTGTGGGTGGTGCAACCCCTGGGCAGATGGGCCTGTGTTGCATAAGAAAACAGGCTGAGCAGGAGCCAAGAGAGCAAGCCTGTAAGCAGCGTTCCTCCATGGCCTGTGCTCTAGCTCCTGCCTCCAGGTTCCTTCCTTGAGTTCCTACCTTGGGCTCCCTGATGAACTGCGACCTGGGAGATGTAAGACAAATAAACCCTTTCCTCCCCAAGTTGGTACTGGTCAGAGTGTTTTGTCACAGCAATGAAGAACAAACTAAGACATGCTGGAAAGGTCAGAAGAGCTGGATCCCTTGGAGCTAGTCACATCTGGTTGTGAGCTGCTGTACGTGTGTACTGGGAACTGAACTCTTGTTCTCTGCAAGAGCAGTCCTTGCTCTTAATCACTGAACCATTTCTTGAGCCCCTAAACCCTTTTCATTTAAAAAAATGAATTTGCTTTATTATTTCTTTCTTAACTACTCAAAAGGGAAAAACTAAGTATGAAATGATAGATTGTTGGTATTGTTTTGATGGACATGGAAGTGTGACTGTAAAATAATATGGCTAATGTTTTGTGGGAGAAATAGTTTTAAAAGAGGATCTCCAAAGGGCTTCATGCCTGACTAGTGTCTGTGACACCTCAAATACAACAGTCAGACACCTGTGAAGATGACTATGGTGAAATAAGCAGACCAACAAATCTAAGTTCCTCTACACTCAAAAACACCACTTATCAGATGTGTAAGTTTGGTTGTATTTGTAAATGAAGAGAAACTGAGCTCAGTGTGGTGTCACATGCCTGTAATCCTAGTACTCAGGAGGTGTGTGTCAGGGGAGGGAGTTCAAAGCCAGCCTTGACTACACAGTGAGTTTGAGGTCAGCTTGGGCTACATGAGACCTTCTCTGAGAAGATAAAAAGAAAAGAAAAGAAATAAAATATTCCAAAGCTTGGACTAACCCAGATCCCTATTACACTGATTTAGGAAAAACAAATAGACAGACAAAACAGATATGTACCAACTGCTCTACTGATCTAGCAATACAATGGATGATAAAATAATACCATTTCCCAGCTCTCTTCACCGTCACACCTTGTGTGTGTCGGAAGGAAAAGTGCCAATATCTATCAGTGAACCGCTGGGTAGTACAACCAATGAATCTGAAAAGTTCGAGTTTTGCCTCATGTTTTTTTTGCTGGGTGACTTAGAGGTTCTTACAAACGTACATTTTCTGAAGCTTCTGGCAGCCTGAGAAGCTGGGTAAGTCTTCTAGCAGGTTATATGACAAATCTCTGAAAAACAAAATGGTGCAAAAAAAAAAAAAAAAGAAAGAAAAAGAGAAAGTATGTTACACATTAGTTGTAAGGAAACACATCTTCCTCTCCTTTTCCCTTCAGATGTTATGTCCCCCAAAGGCCGAGTCTGGACAGTTCCACAGCCCTGACATGGAGCAGGTAGACACAGGCACTATTAGATTAAGCAACAGATTAAAATGTTTATTGAAATGTAACTGTTATACTTCTTTAATTGATTTAAATAATTTACTTAATGAATTTATGTTTTGTTAGTGATCTACAATGTTCTAGTTATTATCTTACTGAAATGCGTACAGGTTAAATTAAATAATTGTGTCCTGTCTCTAAATGCTGCCGTATCTCTACAGCTAACAGAAATCATTGGTGGTTCTTTCAAATCAACTTAAAAACAAAACCCAACCATTCAAAACAGCACTAACTTTGAAATCAATCACTTATGAGAGAGGAAATCTAAGAGAGTCTTCAGCCAAAACTCAACAAATTACAAAATAGCAAAAACATCTGGACATAGTTACACTATAATATAGCTAATCTAAAACAAGACATGGTAATTTGCAGAAAGTTTAAAAAAAAAACCCTGGTAGATAAAGTAACATAGATATACAAAAAAAACTTGTCTCATGTTTTAACAGTTATCAGTTAATCAACTAACACATTTTCATGCCCGATTCTAATCCTTAAAAAAACCACTAAACAACTGAAAAAAATCCATATTATTTTGTAAGAGGTTTTTCAATTATTTTATTCTTATAATTGATCAATTTATCTTGCATTTACTGAATAAATGAATGAGTTTCATAAAGGAAGAGAGATCAATTACTGCGTATAAACAATTCAAATGAAACTGTCTGCAAATACAAATTTGTAGTTTATACTAGAGGTTTGAAAGATTACCTCTTCCCCCAAACAAACAGAACTAAATTCACCAAAGCAAGCAAGCAAGCAAGCAAACATACACATAGAAACCTTTCTGTATCTATACAAAAATATACCTGCTTGACAAATAACGACTATTAAAATGAACACATATATTATCAAAGATGCTAATGTTTTTGTTCATTTCTTCATGCTGCACAGAGAGCCTATCCTTTCTTACGTTTATCTTGTGTAGCCTAGGCAGGTCTTGAACTTGGGATCCTCTTACCTCAGCCTCCCCAGTAGCTGGAATTACTTGCTGAACCCTCAAGCCTGGCTTCTCATCATAAAGCCTTCAATAAGGACATAGTATTGCATTTTGCTTGCCATTTATTTAAGGATTTTCATAGTTAACATAGATCAAGTATTTCTTATATAAAGGCAGCATGTTTATAGCTTTAAAGTCATCTCATTTAATTCTGTGGCCACCTTATGAGAGAGACATGATGAATAGCCTCATATAGTATGAAATGACTTATTAAGATTATCAGTTAATAAGTGGGGAAACCACACATAGCTTAAATAGTGGACCAGGTAATTTCCACAAAGGTGATGCAAGATTGGGGCACTTAACTCATGCACAGTGAAATTTCCTCATGGAAAGAGGGTAGCTCTCAGACCTATACTTTCAAAACATAAAGATCCTGTAGTAGAGATCAAGGTCCTAAGTTCTAGTCTCAAAGTCAACTGATTCTACTTGCTTAAAACACTGGCCCAAGCACTGATTGATATTTTTCTTGGTTTTCTTCTTAGACACCTGCTTTGCGTATTGTGCAGGGATGTCATGAAGAATAAATGAACATTATAGATAGAACCTTGAAAATGGTAAGATTTGATCATTACCATATTTGTATTCACACAAATCTTTCAAGTTAGAACAAGAAAACAGTATCATTTTCTTTGTTTGTTTTCTTATTTGTTTGCTTGAGACAGACTCTCATTATGTAGCACAAATTGTCCTGGAACTCTCTGATGCTGACCTCTAATTTGTGATCCTTCTGCCTCTGTCTCCTCAGTGCTAGGATTACAGGCAGGTGCTACCATGGTTGGCTTAAGAAATAATATGGTGAGGCTGGGAAGATTGCTCAGTTGATAAAGTGATTGCTATATAAAGGTGGACAGGAGTTACTGGGATTTGCTGGCCATCTGTTCTGTTCACTGAGAGGGATTTTGTCTTAAAACAATAAGATGGAGGGGCTGGCAACTCTCTCAGCAGGGAAACGTGCTGCCCCTGGAATCCACCTGATAGAAAGACTGGTTCTCACAAACTATCCACTGACCTACTCACACACAGGCATGCATGCATGGACACACATGTGCACACACAGAAATAATAAATAAATATTTAAAAAGTAAAAATATAATGTAGGGAACAATTGAGGAAGACAGCTAATGTTGACCTCCATGTGCATGTGTATGCACATATACACAAGCATATACCTCACAACTAAAAGAAATAATATTTTGAAGAAAGAGTAATAAACTATGAAAAACTGACTGAAACTTTATGATGCTCTAGATGTTGTTCTAAGGGATTGTCATGTCATTATTTAATCCTTATAATGATCCTCTGAAGGAAGTGGCTCCTCCATTTTGTAGATTGAAAAACTGAGCCAGAAGGGACAAGGTGTTGAAGACACCAAGCTGCCCTCTAAGGTGCTTAGAGCTGAACCAGAAAACCAGATCCTGGAACTCTTGTTCCTAATTGGTTTGCTAGCTGGCCTCCATTGACTCATGTAGTTCTGGACCTAGCCTATGCAGCACAGCAGAGACAGATGCAGTTTATACCCAGGACCCCCATGCATCAGCTACAGTATATGAAACCCTAGTCATGGCATTGAGCCATGGCAACCATGAGAATCATTAAGTAGAAGACAGTTTTATGTATTCTCTACTAGTTTTTTTCAAGAAATGGGGATAGCTGTACATATTCTGGGTGTGGTAAGCAGAATTCTAAGATGCCCTCGGTCCCCAGTTTCTACCACCTGTTGTACACACACTTTCACCCAGTTTTTAAAAACATATTGTTTACAGATTGGAGAGATGGCTCAGTGGTTAAGAGCACTGGCTGCTCTTGTAGAGGACCCAGATTCGGTTCCCAACACCCACATGGTGGCTGATAGCCATCTGTAACTCCAGTTCCAGGGAATCTGACGCCTTCTTCTGGTCTCTGCAGGCATTGCATGACATGCATGCACTTACATACATGCAGGCAAAACATTCATAAACAAACAAACAAACCCCTGACTGTTTAAAACTCTGCTGCTTGGCTGGGGAGATGTTGTCAGTGAAGTGGAGATGCTGCCACTTGCTATGCAAGCATGAAGACATGAGTTTGAGTTCCCAGAACCACATGAAGCTGGACATGGTATAGCATGGGAGGCAGAAACAGATAGTCTGCTGTATGCAGTGGTGAACAACAAAAGATCCTACCTCAAAAAGATGGAAGGTAAGAACCTTAACCAAGATTGTCATCTGACCTTCTGGAGACCTGTAAGGAAAGAACTTTCTCCCCTTTACAGGACTATTGAGATACAGTCTACCATTTTATTCCTAAATGGAAGTTGCCTGTTTATACAACATGATTGCCTTACTGATACGCACAGCACTCGGAGATTAGGTAACTGATCACAGACAGTTTGAGGAAGGGATGAGATTTTTGCTCCAGTTAAAGTCCTGTTAAAACACAAGCCAGACATAATTTTCATGAACACATCACACAGTGACATATTTTGATTCTGATATGAATGCTGAACCAGTTCAAAAGTTAATGCATGTTCTGGAGAAAGTCAAGAGTCTACTCAAGTACTTACAGACTCTCCAGGTTGGCAGTTCCAGTCAAGTCAGGAAATTCAGTTATTTGTGAGGCACCATTCAAAGTCCTAGAAGGAGAAATATGTAAGTATTTTTTGGAGAAGATTCTAGAAAGAGCTCATTTTTTCCCAAAAGTACTTCAAGCCACAACATTCATTTGATCTTTGCAGCAATACAACAAGTTGGGTAGTGGTGGTGATGTTTAAGAGAAATAAACACTTACAGTGTTCTTAGTTCCGGTAAATGCTGAAAAGCAGATATTCCAACAAATTGAATGGGGTTCTCATAGAAATGTCTGGAAAAGATCCAAACACCAATATGTTAACATAAAGCTTGAATGATAATCAAATATGTGTTTCAATGAATACATTAACTGTTTTTCTGTAAGTTTGATTATACTGATCATGTAGCATTCTGGATTACTTGGTTCTAAGTAAACCTCAAAAGTTATTCATTCACATTATGAGATGTTACATCTATCTATCATCATCTATCTATCTATCTATCTATCTATCTATCTATCTATCTATCTATCTATCTATCTATCTATCTATCTATCTATCTATCTATCTATCTATCTATCTATCTATCTATCAATCACCTATCTATCTATCATCTACCTATCTATCATCTATCTCTCTATAAATCATCTATCTATCATCTATCATCTGTGTGTGTGCATGCACACATGTATGCATGTATGTATGTATGTATGTTTGTAGGTATGAGCATGCCATGGTACATGTGTGAAGTTCAGAGGATAACTTTTGGGAGTGAATTCTTTCCTCCTACCATGTTGTCCTGGGCATTGAACTTAGGTTGTCAGGCTTGGTGACAAGTGCCTTAACTTGGCTCTCTGGCTTACATTATAGGATTTTTTTTGGTAAGAAACCCATACTATATAAGATTTAAGGCTGAGTGTGATGCCACACACATTTAGTCCCAGCACTCAGGAGGCAAAGGTAAGTGGATCTCTGTGAAATTGAGACCAGTCTGGTCTCCATAGTGAGTTCTGGCCAGCTGGGGCTACAGTGAGACACTGTTTCAAAAAGACAAAATAAAATAATCTATCTATCTATCTATCTATCTATCTATCTATCTATCTATCTATCTATCTATCTCCAATCTATCTATCCATCCATTAATCCATCCATCCATCATCCATCTATCTATCTATCTATCTATCTATCTATCTATCTATCTTATTCTATGTCTACTGAAGGCTCTATCTCTTGGTTGAATATTACCATAATACCCACAAAGAATTCTTCATATTATTGAGAAAAAAAATGATATGATCTGGGGTTTATCTACTAAAAAATTTTCTTAAATTAATGTGAGACATTATTAGTAAAATTAAAGAGTATTTTATTTTACATATTTTTCAATGTAATTGAAATGTATTCTGAAGTGCTTCACCAATGGAGTCCCACATAGATTTCTTAGTTGAGGCATCCGGATAGTTCACTCAAATCCAACAAATCCTTATCCATGTCTGTTGTGCACAAAATATGAGGCAGGCATTGCAGAGATTTAAATGCTCATTAAGGAAGCTGTCACTGGAAAATATTCCAAATGCTGAGCATTGAAGAGGAATGATAAAACATTCCTGCCTAAACAAGCTTGGGATTAGTTGGGATACAAGTAACACAACCACCTCCTATCCGACAAAGCAAGCGATCCACGCAGCAACTTTGATCTATGGTGATCTATTTTTTTCATTCTCAAGTGAGGAAACTGAGGCCCAGACACCTAGGAAAGCTTATTACCTTCCAGAACCTCAATTTTACAATTTGCTAAACTAAGATAATAATACTTGGGCTCAGGGTTTGTCTAGCAAGTGGAAAAGCTAATGCAAGTGTAGCATCTCACACAGCACCTGGCACAGTTGCTGCCTAGCACACCTAAGTGCTTTTCTATCTCATCCTCTGCTCTCTTTATTTTGCCTTGGGATTAGAGAAGCATTCAAAGAGCTACTACTGGGGAGGGGAGCTCTGGGTTGGATATGATCAAGATAATGGCATATATACATGAAATTTTCAAAGAATAAATGAAAAATATTTTTAAAGAGTTACGACTGGCTGGGTGGTGGTGCATGCCTTTAATCTCAGCACTGGGGAGGCACAGGCAGGTAGATCTCTATGAGTTCAAGGCCAACCTGGTCTATATAGCAAGTTCCAGGCTAACTGGGGCTACAGGGAGACCCTGCTTCAAAAAGGCTCCCCCCCGCCAGAAAAGAGCAACAACTGGAACATAGGCCTTATGGCTTAAAATGGAGTTTTCCTCATAATATCACCTTTTCCTGACTATACTACATGCTTGTTTATATGCATAAAATTAAGCTCATATACATGTATAAATATGTGTTCACTGGGAAGGTATGAATATTTGTGCTTTCATGTATAAGGTGGAAATATCTCCAGTACAGATAAAGAAGCTGGAGGGTTATCTGGAGGGAGTTTTCTTGCTTATTAGGGAGCGATTTAAAAAATTCATGAAATAGTATATTTGAAAAAGATCTGAAAGGCCGAATTTCCATCAACTTAGAAATGCGATGGGATCATTGGAACAAAATAAATAATAAATTTGAAAAAGCTTCATTGTAAGAATAGAGCTCTGGGGAGCTAGTTGGGAAGGTTGGCTGTGGAAGGCTGAGAATATCAGGGTAAGGCTTTGTTTTCTATTTAATGTAAATGGGAAATCCTGGATGTCTGTTTTACAGCAACACAGTGACAAAAAGGATGCTGTGTTTCAAGCATCCCTGATGCCATTGGAGACAGGGAGATCACCCTCATCTGTACTGGTAAAAATTGAGAAGTAATGACTAGTAGAGAGGCTGGTCCATCGGGTTGGGGACTGCAGAGTAGAGATGATGGCTGGGTCACCAGCAGACAGAGGTCAGAAAGCAAAGCAGAGAGAAGCTCTGATGCCCATGGGGCTGCTAGTCCTCCTCACGGTGCATGAGCATGCCAAAAGAGTGGCTACAAACCAGTCTAGGGCTGCAAAGAAAGTGTGGCAGAGCCAATGCAGTTCATTTATCTCTTAATATGTAAATGCTCTCTAATGAGAACTAATGTCTATTTGCCAATAGACTTCAAAGCCCTTAGTTTGCCCAAATATTGCCAGGACACTTCAGAGATGATGAATGGGTTTGTTTGTATATATATATATATATTAGCTTTTTAGATTTCCTAGTTGTTAGTGCTAATTGGGACTCCAGCATATTTGTACAAATGCCACATATTCAGAAAGCTTCTGTACCAGGTTGGCACCGAAGGAACATCTGCCAAGAAGCTCCCCAGGGTCATGTTCAACAGTTGTCTTTACTCTCCTCTATAATATATCTGAGATCCCTCACAAATCACCCCAGGCTAATACTATTTCCCAAACCTGCCTTGGACAGGTGTCTGGTAAGTAAATGTCAACCCAATACTTAACATACTTTCATTTTCTTACATGTTAGTATATCATAAATATTCTGTCTGTGTGAAGTGTAAAACCTAAAATTAGTTATACTTTGTGACTATAAATTTATTTTATTATTTTGTGATACATAAGTCAGCATGTAATTCTTTCTAGAATATATGAACCTTTCTAGAATTACTTTCTAGTTTTGTTTAAATGTGACTCAGTGCTTGGGCTTTTGGTGAATAGACAGAGAGTATAAAACAGCCTTACTTCCACCCAACTCCCACCCCCAGCAATTTAAGCTAAGGTCTATTTGCTCCTAAAAAAAAATGAGTATTTTATATCATTTCGATGTTTAGTTGAACTCTGGCAAAATATCCTGATGTATACATGTCTGTACAGGTTATTATATTGACTGAGACAAAACTCAGGCCAATGCATAACATTCATTGCATTGTATGTAAATGTGCAATATATGCTAAATGTCAGGAAGGACAAGTCAAAAAAGGACTATGGCCACTTACATTGCAATAAGAGAAGGGTTGCCTATAAATGCTTTCTCAGGTATTGACCTGATATTGTTGCTGTGAAATCCTCTAGAAAGAGAAAAAAAATTATAGAAAGTCATGTGTGGAGTAAAATTATTTAATAGCTCTCCTTGCCCTACCATGGTAATAATGGGCACCTTTAGAAACCAGAATACAGGTAATTCTTCTCTGTATTGTGGAACTTATGTGCCCTCATGTACTGTTGAGGAAACAAAGTAATCCCATGCTGTCATCTTCTAAGAGGAAGCCAGGCTCTGCCAATCATAACTCTGCTTTATGGAAACTTAGGATATTGTTATAGAAGGAAAACCCTTCTATTACTATCCGGTAGAGCATGGCTGTATAACAGCCTAAGGAGTGGGAACTATCTTTGGAGAGAGGATTGAGATCACTCCTCCAGACCTTTTCTGAAGTTCAGAGAAGGGGAAATTGACTTAAACTGAAGTAGACAGTTAAGTAATCTCCGTATGAGGACAAAATTTCGCTCAGTGGCCTGTGATAACAAATTGATTCTCCTCTATAGGGGCAAATGTCTGAATGGCAGAGGCACAGAGGCAAGGATCTTTGGGTTTCCTTGGGCCTGTGGCTGTATAAAGTGCATGGTAGTCTTAGGGCTGCTGGACCCTTACAATAAAGACTGCCCCGCCGAGACCCATGTGAGATTTTCTGAGGTAGAACTTATCTGAGGTAGAACCCATGGAGGATTTTTTTTTTTTTTTGGTCTTTTTGAGACAGTGAGTTCCTGGAACTCACTATGTAGACGTCTGGCCTTGAACTCACAGAGATCCGCCTGCCTCTGCCTCCCAAGTGCTGGGATTAAAGGCGTGCGCCACCACACCTGGCTCCTGAAGGCTTTTTAAAAAATAAACAAATTCCCCATTTCATCTTCTTTGTCTATGGAAATAGGTTCCAGGTTTATTTTCTTTTAAAATGTTAGGACATTACTTACTTAGGCTATTCATCTTTCTAGGTATAGAGAAAAGTCCATTAAATTTATCATCTAAGAGACAATATATAAACTCAGTGGCTGAAAGTTAATTTATCTTTAATCAAATTGCATTTAAAACATTAAACAAGATTCACACAACATGTAAGGAATAATACATACAATAAACCTGTGTAGAGTATCTATCACTGTATGTGGAACATATAAGTCTATTCAATGTTTTACATTTATACAACTTAGAAATTTCTGGACACATAGAAATGTTCATCAAGTACCTTCTATTATAGTTATACTACAAATATACAAAGAATATGATGTTACTGGAATACATATGGTTTAGAAAAAATGAATAGAATATGGGTTAGGTAAATGTAAAATATATGTTTCTTCATACAAATATGAGAGATTTAAATAAAAAATCTAATAGTTGCTTGTTATATAAATCAATTAAAATATATTTCAAGTGCATTCAATCATTATATAAAGTTTATGCAAAGTCATTATGCATTATGTAAAGTTTATGCAAGCCATTATGCATTATAATCACACCAATTTTAAAATAAAGTCAAGAGTAAAGTTCTTTCATTAAACTTATCTTAAATACTTACAGTTCTTTAAGGTTGGAGAGTGTCCTGATTGCAGTGGGGAATTCATCCAGGTTGTTATAATTTAAATCTCTGAAAATGAGTAAAGAATATTTTCAGTATTTGTTTCTTTATTTTTTTGGGGGGTCTTTTTTGAGACAGGGTCTCCCTGTAGCCTCAGCTGGCCTGGAACTTACTATGTAGACCAGGCTGGTCTTGAACTCAGAGATCTTCCTGCCTCTGCCTCCCAAGTGCTGGGATTAAAGGTGTGCGCCACCACACCTGGCTCAGTATTTCATTTTAAACTCCCATCTGTTCTATTTACAAGATAACTTAAAATGCTGTTCCAATGGACCCACGTCATTGATGGAAGTTCTTTTCCTTCTTTTTATGGAGAGGCTTTCTTGGCTTGCTTCCCACTAATATTCTTTTTAAACATTTATTTTATCTATTAGAGAGTGTGTGCATGTGCGTATGCATGTGCGTGTGTGTATGTGTGTGTGTGTGTGTGTGTGTGTGTGTGTGTGTGTGTGTGTGCAGTTCGGAAGACAATTTTTGAGAGCTGGTTTTCTCCTTCCACTGGTGGGTTCCAGGGATTGAACTCAGGTCGTCAGTCTTGAGCAGCATGTGCTTTTAACCACTGAGCCATCTCGCTGCCCTTGACTACTAATATTCTGAAAGCATGTACATTAAAATAGTCATATGTCAATGAATAGAATTTAGAGCCAAAGTTCAATGGGGTCATTTAAAACAAGAAGGGACCTGCAGCAGCTTTAACTTCTAAGGAGGAGTGATGCTTGTTGGGTGGGTCCTGACTACTTCTGATGGACTTATTGATTCAGACCTGGTTCACCAAATTGCTGGCTGGTGTTTGCCCTCTTTGGTCCTGGGACACACCTCCTCCTTTTTTTCCTCCTTCCCGTCTTGGAGAAAGGACATCTGGAGAATTGCTTTGTTCTTGACTCCTGTGGGGAGCTTGTGTCTCACCTAGCCTGAAGTCAGGACAAGACATGCTTTTGGAGAGGCATAAGTGAAACACGGTTGTTTTAGCAAGGATATGTGGTCTAGGGTTTCCCCAGAGTCACAAATAATGATTCAAATCAGAAATCTGATGTTTTCCTTGGTCTGTGAGGCAAAGTTCTCTGTTATTCCTCATGCACAGAGATGGAAGGGCCAGAGAATCTCAAACCATGAATCTCTCTATCTGTTGTGACACAAATGGCTTTTCAATTCCATTACTCAGTATTTTATGGGCTTACTCCACCTCATGCCTCCATCTTTTTATGAAAATATATTTGCCTTCTGGTCTCTGGGAACAGCAGATTTCCCAGATGACGCAGAAAACCCTTTTGGTAAGGCAATCAGATGTGGTTAGATCCTCCTCAGTAGAGAAGTATTGCTATTTAATTTTAAGAGAAAGATAATTTGACTGAGTTAGACATGAATCGAGATTCCTACTTGTCTGGCACAAACCATCCTTAAGCTATTCTGCAGGCAGGAAATGCATGTCTTTTGTGGACATAAATTCTTCCTGTTTGTAAATCTCTCCAGGTGCCCCGTTTTGATTAAATGAGGATTGGACCTTTATAAATTACTTGGATTTCTAGTGAAGGAAAGAAAGAGGTTGGGACTAACCAATTTACTGATCCTCTGTAGCCCTAGGCAAGGTGAGGCAGACAATAAGATTCATAGACTTTGTTTAGAAATGTTTTACTTTGTGATATTCATAGGTATTTTTGTGTAAATCTGGTTCCTCACCCAGGATTTGGGACAAAGGAAAACCATTTATTGAAATACCCACTAAAGTCAATCTTGTTTTCTTTTTTTTTTTTTTGTAGTATTATTTTATTGAAAAGGATAAGAAAGAGATTCTCATAAAGATTCCAAACCAATCTTGTATAGATAAGAGAGAAGTTCTAATTTGTTTTCTTGGAGTTGATGAGAACCATGCCATCAAGGTCCTTCCTGCCTGAGTTCCTCTTTGATACTCTAGGGAAATGAAGTGACAAGTCACTCTGGAAGGGAAGCTGATTTCTCATCTCTTAAGACCTGGGGTGGCGGGCTAGAGAGATGGTTCAGGTATTAAGAGCAATGGCTGCTCTTACAAAGAGCGTCACCCATATGACAACTAATAACCAACTGTGATTCCAGTTCTAGGGGATCTGATGCTCTCTTCTGACCTCTGAAGACACTGCACCCATGAGTGCTCTTACATACATGCAGGCAAAACACTCACAAACATAAAATAAAAATAAATAAATAAAAATTAAAAAAAGAGAAGACCTAGGACAGATGGTCTCTTAAGGATTCAGACCTGGTTAGAAGCCAAATTGCTAAACTCTATATGTAAATGATCAATGTGCTCTAAGGTCCTAGAAAATTTGATTTCCTTTTTTTTCTTTCTTTCATTTACTTATTTTTTATGTGTATGAATGTTTTGCTTGCACATATGTGAGCGTACCTGTGTGTGCAATGCGCACAGGAGCCAGAAAAAGGTGTCAGATTATTAGAGTATCAATAAGCCCCATAAATTTAACTGGTCCAGACGATAAAAAATGTCTAGTCTGTTGGAAGGCCCACTTTTCAAGTCTCATTGGTCAGTTACCTTGTGATAGAGCCACTTCCAGGAAGGCAGTTTCACTTTAAGTTATGCTAAATAGATGGGTAGAATACCTGTTGTGTTAATGAGGTAGCAGATATTTCTTGCCTGGAACTAGCTCAGATCCTCTCAGAACTTCCAGACCAACCACAGTCATGTAGGTCTCCATAAGTCTGTCTGCTTTCCAAAATGTAATTTCTCCTTTTCTTCATGCCTTTCTTGCTAAACATGCTTTCTTTAAGGCTTTGGACTGCCCCTAGCATCTTGTATTTCTTCACTTGTTCTCCAAAGCTTCCTTCTCTGAGCCATGTGGCTGCGAGTCAGCCTCATGTCTGACCTCCATGCAGGCTCTAAACCTGCATGGCTCCATGGCTTTCATTCCTTCTTCCCACTATTCACTCCCTCAGGGCAGCTGCCAAGATTACCAGCTCACTTGCCCTGAGGATTTTTCTTTAAGATTCTAATAAAATTTTAAAAGCTTCCATTTGGGTCCATTCTTAAATTCTTTTATGAATGAGACTAAGAACCCTCTAGGGGACCCACTTTCTCCCTGTTTCAAGATCCTCCTGGAACAGGAATTATATAAGGTTGCTGGCCACCATGTGAGCGCTGGGAACTGAACCAGGTCCTCTGCAAAAACAGCCAGTGCTCTTAATAGTTGGGCCATCTCTCCAGCCCCTAGACTTGGTTTTTGTCATCTCCTTCTGCAGTCCTGATCAGCTAGCATGGGAGATTTAGTGGCCCTGGGTAGTTCATTGTATTTCAGTATTAGTCATGTGGGAATGGGTGTGGGGATATGTCTGCAACTACCTTCTCCTTCTTTACACTCAGACCCTTTGTTGCCTGTCATCCCCCCCTTATTACACCTCACCCACTCAGCAAGTCTTTACTACCAGAAGTCTGGGGCTCTGCTGTAACCTGTGAGAACCTCTGCCTTGGCTCTGGGATCTAGGATATAGTCAGCTGACTGGACTCATTTTTAATCATAGGTATTTTTGTTGTTATTTGTTTGTTGATATGGGAGCCCCAATATGTTGACCCAGGCTGATCTCAAACTCTCTAGGCTCAAGTGATCCCCTGCCTCAGCCTTCCAAATATCTGGGACCACAGGCACACACCCTTGTGCCTATTTTGACCCATTATTTTCTTAGTGAGACAGGGTCTCCCTGTAGCCCTAGCTGGCCTGGAACTCGCTATGTAGACCAGGCTGGCCTCGAACTCACAGTGATCTGCCTGCCTCTGTGCTGGGATCAAAGGCGTGCGGCTTGACCTATTTTTGAAAGTAGATCTGGAGATAAACATGGATTTCAAAATCAGACTAGGGAAAGAAACAAATTCAAATTATGCTACAGATTTGATATGTAACACTGGTGAAAGAGCTCATCAGAGCCCAAGCCAGGATAGTGATAGGACAGGATTTACTGCTGTATAGGATATTTGTAAAAATTCTTCCGACAACGTGTACCAGTGATCATTCCTGTACTCATTAAATGGAAACCATTGTTACTTTTTAGTCCTTTGACTCCCTTCAGCATGACCTCTCCCTCATTCCTCCTGAAGTGCCTGCTGATATCAGATAACTGCCCTGCATCCTCTCATTCTTTAGGGAGGACCCAACTCACTCCCAATTCATGAATAGTGTGCCTGACAATATAGAATTGACTTTGCTGGAGAATACACATTCCTAAGCAAACAGTCACTGCTTAGTAGAGAACATCTTATTTAACTTTAATTGTTCTAACTAATACATCACTCTCATGAGATTAAAATAAAATCTCAGTTTTACTGTTTAGCTCTGTCAGTGTGTGTGTGTGTGTGTGTGTGTGTGTGTGTGTGTGTATAAGATTAAAAACCTCTGTAAACATCTGCTTAAAACTTAGGCAATTAACCAAACCAAACAGCAAGTTTGACTTTAAGACTGTTTTGATTCCTCCAGAATATTCATGAAAACACCAAGTAAAGGGAAACAAATAAAAGGTCAACTCACAGAGTCTCAAGGCTGTGGAGCCCATCAAAGCATTTCTTTCCCAGGGAGTGGATTCTGTTGTTGTGGAGATGCCTGCAGGAGAGCATCACAGACAGTCAAGAAGGCACACTGCACAGAGCAAATTTAGGAACAGCATTTTAATAGCTTAAATCCAAAGAAAGTTAGAGGATACACTCATAAGAAAGAAGCTTTTTAAAAAAGCCTATATGCCACCTTCACTTACGATGATTCTACACTGTAGAGTAGGACAATCAGAGCTCACCATCTGGGTGTGTGATAGCAGGGAATGTGTGGCACAATGAGCAGCACATTCATAGAAGCAAATTTGGGGTTTTCAGTGTCATTTCTTTTTTATTTTATTTATTATTTCTTATTTTATATGTATGAGTATATTGCCTGTATGTGTGTCAGTGCACCCATACAATGGGTGAGGATTGCAGTGCCTGAGGAAATCAGAAGGGAGTGTTGGATCCCCTGGAACTGGAGCAGCCATGTGGGTGCTGGGAATCAAACCTGGGTCCTCTGCAAGAGTAGCCGGTGCTCTTAACCACTAAGCCATCTCACAGTCCCTCAAAGTAATTTATAATATGGCTTACTCAGCATGGCTTGGGGATCTAGAATGCTCAGTGGAGATCATCGACCCATGGGGGAATGGAGGGAATGTCACAGGTGAACTAAGCACCTTTTCTCTTAACCTGAAGGCTTATAAAGGCCACAGGCCATTAGGAAAGGATTTCATCTTCAGGGAATAGTGACCAGATTTTTTTGGCTGCCCAAGATTGGTTATCTTGACACAGTACTAATGTGTATAATTATCATCTTTGGCTCAATTGATAAGTCATGTAGGTCAGAGCTAATGAGAACAGCTGTGTACACATCTGAATGCTAGACCAACTCCCAAAGAGATTTGGGAAAATAGGTTTAAGGGAGACAGGATTAAATCCATGCCCTCTAGTGGAAGAAAGAAAAAAATTAAAGGCCAAAGCCTGCTTTTTCGGTTTCGGCAGCGTCATCTTTACAAGAGAAATTCAGTTTCTGTATTTGCTAATATCCTCAAATTTCTTTTCCTCTCAGACTAAGGCCTTTGTTCTAATGAATAAATTTTGGTTTCAGGTGACATTGATTCAGGGTATTTTATATGCAACAGACGAGAGAGGGATAGAGGGAAACAAAAAAGATGGGCGAGCCCCCTCAGAGGAGTGCGTGTGCAAGGGAAAGAAGGCAGATAATCTACTGCAGCAATAAAGTGGGTGAAGGCAGTAGAAGGTCAGTGGGCAGGCACGGAGCAAAGGGTAAAACACAGCAGAAGACGCCTCCCTCAAAGTTCTTGAGTGTTAAGATTTGGATCATGAATGTCTACCAGAGGCACATACGCTCAAGGCTTGGCTGCCAGACTGTGGTGCCATCAGAAAGTGGTGTGATCTGTGAGAGGGGGCGGGGGGGGGGCTGATGGAAGGATGTTAGGTGTTGGGGCCTTGTCCTTGAAGGGGATATTGGGATCCCAGTGTTCCTGTCTCTGTCTTTACTTCCTAGGTGCTGTGAGGTGAGCAGCTCTTGTTCACAGTGCACTACCTGTCATGATGCTCTGCCTTACTCTAGGTCCAAAAGCAATGGGACCAACAACCATGGACTGAAGTTGCTGAAGTTTTGAGCTCAAATGATCCTTTCTTCCCATTATAGATGACCTTCTTTTTTTCTCTCTATAACCTGGGCAGCTTGGCCTGTGAAGCCTTGGTTGGCCTCAAACTCACAGCAATCCTCTTGCCTCTGCCTTCTAAGTGCTGGGATTACAGGCATGAGCCACCATGCCCGCCTGTCAAGTATTTTATCATAGGGATGGAAAGATGGCTAATACACTAAACAAGTAGATCTTACAGTCATTTAAGTAGCAACTTCATTGCAACAGCAGCATTAGATCATAAATGCTGGGTTGCACGTGGGGACACAACACTTTACCGTTAAAAAACACTGATTAATTTCCAAACTATTACTTAAGAACAATTTTGACTTACTAAAATAATGAGATCTGAGTGGAGCATGGGTGGTGCATACCTGTAATCCCAGAGCTTGGGAGGTGGAGGCAGGAGGAACAGGGCTTCAAGGTCATCCTTGACTATACAGCAAGTTCAAGGCTAGCCTACATGAGACCTTGTCTCAAAAAAACCAAACCAGACCTTAAAGGGCTAAAAGCTGTCGAAACGCATAGTTTGCTGCCAAGGGTGGGTTCTCCCTTCTCTTTCTTTCCTTCCCTCTCTTCCTCTTTTTCAGCAGTACTTTGGGCTCAAACACAGGTACTGATGCATGCTGAGCGCGTGTAAGCGCTCTGCCACTGAACTGTACTCCGAGCTTAGGAATGATTTCCTTTCTCTTTCTTTGGGTCCTAAAAGTGCTTAATAAGGCTGTGGGTGTGGCTCAGTGATAAAGTATGAATCTAGCTAACATTTCTGATGCCTGGGTTTCATCTCTAGGACTGCAAAACAAAACAAAACAAAAACCCCTTATTCGTTATTACTAATATATTATTAAGTAATAAAAGCATCTTCCAATTTTACTTGAACTATCAATTCTTAAAAAAATAAAGCATTTTTATTAACTTTTGTTGCTGCACAGTGTGGTAATTTCTTATACAGTAAAGAATGGATTCCACTAAGGCAGAGGTCATATTTTATCTTTGAATGCCCAGCAAAGCTTGCCATTTATCAGGTGCTTGATAAATGTTGTTTAAGTCATTCACACAATTAGAACATTTATAAGCCATTTTGGAGAGGGGCCCAGGGGGTTTTCTTTCTTTAAAATGCATCCATTCATGTTTTGAGGTCCAGCATTTTAAGGCCAAGATCTCTGAGAGAATTTAGAAACTGCTAAAAAGAGAGAGCAAAATCAGTACAACTTACAGAACTACCAAGCTGGAGAGGTTTCCAAAGGCATAGTCTGGTATGTGATGTATTTTGTTCAGGGCCAAGGTCATGGCTTGCAATGCAGATAAACTTCTGAAAGCCTGGACAGGGATTTCTGTCAGAGCGTTGTCATCCAGCCACAGGTGCCTTAGGGAGTGCAGGCCACTGAAACAGCTGGGTGGCACGTAGCTGATGTGGTTGGCATCCAGACGCCTAGAAGAAAGCGAGCCAGAATGAAAAAGAGAGAAAAGCCCAGGCAGAATGAAGACTTTGCAGGAAGACCTTCCTTGTGCTTGTTAGCCACAGTGAAATAGCCTGGGGAGCTCTGGGTCCCAGACAGCGGGGAACATTTTCCTTTTCTGATCAGCTCTCTCCACCCATGAGTAGAACCACTGCATCAGACCCTTGGCTGTAAAAACGCCATGTGCTGTAATTCTCTTCCAGGCTTGTGGGTAATAGGCTTTCATGCATGGAAGTGGTCTCCCTGAGTTGCAGCTGGATGGTATTTTAGCTCTGCATTCTGACACCAGCAGACAGATTTCCTCTCACCTTTTTTCCACCCCAAGCCAAATGAATGCCTTTGCATTCCTGGATTGTTTGGAACACACAAAACATAGTGATCTACTGGTTTGTTCCTGAGCTCTAGGAAAAGATTGCTTCAGTATTTGAAAAAGCCAGTAATTTTGAAAGGCTGTGAGATATGCCTCTGGGAGGGATGAGGCAAGTGCTGAAGAGCTTAAAAACTGCCGGCTGTCTTGCTTAGCTTAACCGTTTGCTTGGGCAGATGTTTGTTTTCCTGACATTTTAAACGAATAGTAAAATTAACAACTTTGCAGCTCTTGTTTCCTTTTTCCACATTCTATTTTTTTTCTTTCTTTTTTAAATGTAAAACTAGGTCTGGTTAATGAGCTGTTACAGCTTCCGAGCCAGCAGAGGGAGTGCAATACATTTACTTTATTGCCATTTAACATAAACAGTAGCTGTAATTAAAGTGCCTTAACATTTTTCATGCAAATGACAGAATTGAGGCAGTTTGAAATTTTCTATGAGGTACACGAACATGGAACCATAACCACTCAGTTATGCTTCTGACAGTCCTCACTCTAGTTTTTTTTTTTTTTTTTTTTTTAAAAAAAAACAGGTTTGTTTGTATTTTCAAAACTAGGATTAAAAAAAAAAAATAAAACACCCTGAAGAGTTGCATTTTATGCAGCTCATGTATTACGAAGGATTAGAAAATCATGAGAAAATTCTGAAAAAGGTTTCGGAAGCATTTAAGACTAAACAGATGCAGGAAGTGCATGAGGATCACAAAAATAATCTGCGACCCAAATTTAAATGGTTTAGAATGTAGAGAGCCCTCTGCGGTACAGGCTAACTTCTCTGGAAAGCGGCTTCCCCACTTTTGGTCACATACATCATTTTGGTCAACTCCTGGTTCCTACTTCTATCTAGTGGATGAGCACAAGTGGCACCTTACAGGTCTTGGGACAAGCTTTGGAACAAATATTAAGAGTTGGGTCTCATTGTCTGTACACACATTTCCAAGAGATCAGCCATGATGGTTGGAGCAGAAACACAGTTTTCCTAACATGGCCGGGGTCTGTCAACAAAGGATCTGGAAATGCTTAGGAAAATTTTATCACCATCACCATCTCATCTCCCTTTCTCCAGCAACTCTGCCTATGCTAGAGTGTAGACCAACCTGCACAGTCTCATCCAGCATGAGGAGGTAATTGGTTTTGTTTGACTAGAAGCAAAGCACATATGTAAACTTGGCTTAACTACTGCCTTAACTATTCCTTAACTGCATCTGGACGGGCTTGTGAGTTTCAATTGTCTCATCATCCCTAGTTGCTCAAGAACTAACCCAAGTGGCTCCTAAAGCCTTGAAAGTGACAAGCCTTAAAGTTCATTGCAATGTTGGGGTACATTCATAGGAAAGGTTCTTTGAGTGTGGAGTCATGGGCCTTTCTTCTTTGATGTTTTAAGTTGATACCAACGTGAAGTGGCTCTGGAATCGTTCCCTATGTGAACAGATCCTTCAGGAATCACTTTTTTTTTTTTTCCTCAGAAAAAAGATAAAATCTGGAGCCGGAGAGATGGCTCAACAGTTAAGAGCATTGGCTGCTCTTGCAGAGGACCCGGGTTTGGTTCCCAGCACCCACATAGTGGCTAACGACCTACTGCAACTTCAGTTCCAGAAGATCCAACACCCTTTTCTGACCTCCATGGACACTGCACAACAGAGGCACACTTACACGCATGCAGGCAATACACTCATACACATGAAATAAAAATACTAAAATAAAATATTAAAAAAATCTGTTCATACTGTTATATAAATTTTATCTGAAATGAGTAAGTCAGAATAATTATTCAATGCCCTAACACTCTAAATACTAATTAATATTCCCAGACCTATTAGTCCTTGCATAGACTTTAGGTGTCCCAAGCAGAGCACTAAACTGTCTTTTTATGCAACAGTTTCATCATTTATATAAGAAGCTCCCACTAGATAAGAGAATGTCATGGGGGAGTGGGGTGAATATGTTCAAAGTACATTCTATGCATGTATGAAAATGTCACAATGAAGCCCATTACTTTTTACAATGTAATATAACTAATAAAAATGTACAAAAAATGAAACTCCCCCAAACAATACATGTAGTGTTTCAAAGTCAGTGTCTTCCTGGCATCTGGGTAGTTTCAGCCTAATTCAGACAGAAATTTATTATATACACATAAAGGCATTATCTGATTCAATTTTCTCTTCCCTACTTTATTAAAGTATAATTGACAAATAAAAGTTGTATGGATTCATGGTGTGTACTATGATGTTCTGCTATATGTATATAATAGAAAGTGATTAAATCAAATGAATGAACATACCCATTATTTTCCATACTTATCATTTCTGTGTGTGGTGAGCACATTTAGGTCATAATGTCTTAGCAATTTTCAAGTGTACATTACTATTAGTTATAGTCACCATTTTGTACAAAAGATTTCCATAACTTATTCATACTGAGAGTTGCTGCCTTTTAATCAGATCTTTCCATTCCTCCCACCAACTCTCAGGCCCCCTGGCAACTAACCATTCTGCTCTCTTCCTTGATATCTGCTTTAATTTTAAACTTCCCAAGGCTAAACTGGAGTATGGAATTAAATATCCACTCACTTTACAGGTGGTTCCAGCCAACAAAAGGATCATATTGTGCCAATCTGGTCTTTTCAGGAAAGTGGACATTCTCTATTTATATGCTTGGAAAATGCAACATTTAAGTCATGAAGAGTAAGATAAATATCACTATAGAGTACAAGAAAAACCTCTTTTGGGACTGGAGAGACAGCTCAGTGGTTAAGAACACTTGCTGTGTGATCATGAGGACTGGTTTTCAGATCCCACCTCCACATAACAAGCTGGGCATCCCTCAAAGGCCTGGCCTGGACCAACTCCAGTTCCAAGGGATCCAACATCCTCTTCTGGCCCTCTCCTTGTGCACACAGAGGCACACAAACATGCACAAACTCATGCACATATACTTATGCAAACACACACATAAATAAAGCTTACAAAAACCATACGTATAAAAATATGGTTCTGGGCTGGAGGCATAGAGTGGCCATTAAAGGTTAAGGCTAACAACCAAAATGATAAAATATGGTTCTATTATATACTTATTAGGAGCAACAAAAATGCCTATACTGTGCATTGTACAGTTCCACCTTTGAAATGTTTCGTTGTTTTTCGATTTCATATAAGTCACAAAGCAGGTAATGTTTAACATGGCTTACTGTCTATGTATTAGTGCTGAGATTTCCAAATGGAAGTCCCAGGTCAAGTCATGATTGTAGCTGTGGGGCAATGGATAAGTCCACAGACCACACCTTTAACATCTGTCAAATGGGGAATAATTTCTCTCATAGGGCTTTTCTTTATGATTAGAGAAAACAGCAAAACAGGACTTTGTAAATATAAAGCACTTTAACAATGTTAAATTATTATTATTTAAGCAGGTTAAAAATTTGAATATTTGTATTTTGACCATTAAGAAAAAAAAAGAGGTTAACCCAAGTTTTGTTTAGGCAAAAATCAACTGAAATGAATGCTAGATTGCCAGTAAATTTCAGTCCTGAGACATGCAGGCTGCTTCTCATTTCTCATAGCAGAAATAACTAAGAGGTTGCAACTATACTTAATAGAAGTCATTCTTATTTAGTTTTTAGTTTTTGGTCTTTTTGAAACAGGGTCTCCCCTGTAGTCCCAGCTGGCCTAGAATTCACTATGTAGACCAGGCTGGCCTTGAACTCACAGAGATCTGCCTGCCTCTGCCTCCCAAGTGCCGGGATTACAGGCGTGCGCCACCACGTGCAGCATTGAAGTCATTCTTATTTTTCAGTCTTCTAAAAATACTTATTTAGTGTGTGTGTGTGTGTGTGTGTGTGTGTGTGTGTGTGTGGTGGGGGGAGGTGAGCATGTGTTACACTGTACATATGGAAGTCAACTTACAGGAATATGCTTTCTCCTTATATCCTGTGGGTTCTAGGGATAGAGCTCAGGTTATTAGGCTTGACAGCAAGTGCCTTTACTCACTGAATAATCTTGTGGGCCCCTATTTTTCAGTCTTTAGTATTACTGTTATATGTATGTACCTCCATGTCTATATGTATAAGTATACACACAGACACACAACTGAGTAGTATTTAAAATTTTTTTTTAATTTATTATTTTTATTTTATGTGTATGCGTGTATTGGCTGCATGTAGGTAAGTGCGCTCGTGTCATGCAGTGCCCATGGAGGTCAGAAGAGGCTGTCGGATCCCCTGGGACTGGAGTTATGGACAGTTGTCAGCTTCCATGTGGGTGCTGGGATTCAAACCCGGATCTTCTGCAAGAACCAACCAGTGTTCTTAACTGCTAAGCCATCTCTCCAGCCCCAATTGAACAGTATTTTGATGTATTATGGACTATAACATCTTCAATCCAGAAGTATAAGGCAAGTGGTGATGTGGGAAAGAGGACGCTACATTCTTAGAGAAATTTCTAGCAATGATCTTGATGTTGATACATCCATCAAAATGTGACAGAGGTAGCAGAGAACCCATATGCAGTTATACATAGCAAAACAAATGTGAAAAGCAGGAGGGACTGGTCTTGCTTTCAATCCAGTTAAATAAAGCCTCTTCTTTATGATCTTGAAATGCAATCT